CCATCACCCAGGAACGTTATTACCCAGCCCCATACCACCACCCCACCTAACCTACTGTGCATTTGGTTACTGAATCGCTGTTTTTTGGTTGCTGAATCGCGGAATGTTGGTTTCTGAATCGCGGAATTGTAGTTTCTGAAGCGCGGAAATTTAGTTTCTGAATCGCGGGATTTTTGGTTTCTGAATCGCGGTGTTGGTTTCTGAATCGCGCCATTTTGGTTGCTGAATCGCGGATTTTTGGTTTCTGAATCGGACTTTATTCGATCTAAATCTATACTATTCATTAACAATCTACATAAATGAACTCTGACACAAACTAAACGAGCCCTGTCTCCGTGGACGCTGAGTCCGTCCAAGTGTCACTTGCTCGAGGAGCTCGGGCCCCTCTTTTTGCAAGAGTCCCGGGAAGCCTTTCCTCAGAGATCAAGTTGACGGTTCATGTCCGAAAAGGTTTATATCAAATTAAACAACGCGTCCTTTTATGGCCTGGTTGATGCTAGCTTATGCCAGCTCGAACTTGAAATGATGCCCGAGTTTTAAACTTGCTCGAGGAACAAAGACTCAACATGCAAATTCTGATTACACCATCCTCGGAATTATACTATAGTCAATGAAACATGGGGAATGATGGACATGTATAGTAATTATAAGGCAACAATGTCAATTAGTCGATGCTGAAGAGTTGAGGAAAGAACATGCAGCCTTGGCTTGCCCCTCAACTGTGAGTGAGTGTGCTCAAAGCAACAATCAAACAAACAATCTAACAGGATCTAAGAGGAATCTCTGCACTGTAAGCCAAGCTTCTGAAACTTTGCGGTGGAAAAACCAGAGCACTGTACCAAAGCCTTTTCCGCCAGATCTTTCGAGACCCCTACCAACAGTGCCTGACAGGGAGAAAAGAATGCGCATTGTGCGGCTCGAGTGGTTCAAAAAAGGTGACTGCGATACTTTGGTCTCTATATATTTGTGGAACTTGCCTGAAAGCTGGGAAGGTCTCATCACAGAAAACGACTGGATTTCGAATCCAACATTTCTTTGGAGGTGGCCGTATATGCAACACTTCCCCATTTCTTGGCAAAAGCTCTCTAGCTGAGGCATTGGCGTCCATCTTCTGAACCACGCCATCAAGGGCCTCCAAAAGGTCGGATGTGCATGATTCAGGAGCCATGAAAAATCATGAAAAGCTTACAACTGTTCCTGTTCGCGGTTTATCCAAGAAATCGGTTGAAATCAGTCGAGATCTCAATTCAGCAGTTTCTTTGGCTAACTACTAGGGCCGATACACTGGGAGCATCCCTGCGCAGCGGCGCAAGCCTTCAGTCTTGTCTTGACCTTGTCCAACATGCTCCCAAATTGTCCAAGCTTTTTTCAGCCGCGGTTTGTCCCCTTGTGCTGTCTAGACTTTGACCATGATGCTTGGTATCGTCTTTAGCGGTCAGGGCCAAGGTCACCTGAACTTGGTGTCATGCTCACTTGTTGCTTGAGGCTCTTTATGGCTCTTTAGAATGGTTTCATAGGCACTCCATGGCACTCCATGTCGACTTGGTAAACCATGCACTGCTGAGTTGTGGAGGACAAATTCTGAGACATTTCGCCAGTTGCGCCTCCGGCAACTTGGCAATGTCACTGACTCCTTTCACCAGCTCGGCCAAGTCTCGAACCAGAATTGCCTCGGCCACCGCAAACCACATCTTTTAGACCTAGGTGCACACTTGGCCAAGGAGCGTATTTCCCTTGCTCAGCCTCCTTCCATTTGGATTTGATCTTCGGTGCGATCGGGCTTGCGCGGCACTTGTCCAAGTTCTCGGCCGTTTCTATCATCACCTTAAGGGCCCGATCGGAAATAGGTGTACCAAACAAAGACAATGGAAACCCACTTGGAATGAACGCATGTGCTTCTTGAGTGTAAAAAATGAAACATGAGCCTTATGGATGGAAATTGGCATTTGTCTCCCTATCACTGACCGCGAGCTTTTCGCTTTTGTGGCACATTGATTCGAAGTAGGTGAATGTAGGTGACCACAGAAAACAATGACTCATACACACATTACACATGCATCTCTCCTTGTAGATCTCTGAGGCATCCTCAAGCTGCACGAGCTCCAGATTGATTCTGCTGTCAAGATTGGAGAAAATTATGTCCTCAACCAAAAAAGAACGGCTGACTCAGCCACTCAGCCAACATTGGATTTTCGCGCCACCTGTCTCACCTTGCCAACCCAAAGGTTCCACATTTATATTGTTGATGCTAGGGCTAGTAAGGGACCCCCTGGTTGCAGTCTCTCTTGGATTGACATCAACTGGACACAGGATTATCATCCGCCACTGCTAGCTAGGAAATCTCATGCTCATACAGATACAAGTACGAATCATTAGTCATTGGTCATGCAACACCAAGCCGAATACATCCCAAAGAGATCGAACACCTTGTGTGCATGCAAACACTTTACAACATGGATGCTGTCCAAGCTGCACTGGCCAAGCCAATTCGGTCGATGAGCTGCAGATCTGGGCTGCTCATCTCTGCAACCGCGTCCATTGCAACCTTCAGCTCCTACAAGACGTTGATGTTTTCCGCATAGCTTTTTATTGACCTTTCAAACTCCCAGCAACCAAATTTGTAGCGGGGGATTCTTCGGTAATGTAATCAGTCATTGGTGAGGAGATTGCACATAGCTGGACTTTCTTGCCGATTTCAGGGGATCGCTGGACTTTCGTCTCCTGCATGGGGAACCATGCAGCGGTCTTTCAACAGATCTCACTGAATTCCATTCTAATTACTCTTTGCTCTTCAGGAATTTGATTTCTGCCATTTGCATGGCGGAACACATCTCAACAACAGTTTCGTACGCAATCATAGCTCTGCATTGCGTACACCCCCGTTGTTGATCATGACAACTGTCCTTCTTTCTTCAACGTGAGCTAAGAAAAAGTGCAAGTGTGAGCTATGCAGTGATATGGAAAGACAGCGTGCGTCTCCTCAGAGCATTGCTTCATCTCGTCTAAACCATCTTTGCCACTCCCTGAACCGGTTTTGCGACATGGACAGTTTAAAGACCAGAAGCCCATGGCTCTGGTCTTCAGCGTCTAGCTTCTAAAAAGCTTTGGATGGCAAAAAAAGAATTGTTGCCCATTGGCAACTGGTGTATATATATATATATTTTTATAGTGAGCATTCGTAGTCTGCCCATGTTCACGCAGTATCCGTAAAGAACAAGTTTAAACAGCCCCTTGAGTTGGTGCCTGCTGTAAGTTAAGTTTCCCTAAGAATCCAGGAACCAAATCATTGGTGCGAGCGCTTCTTCAAGGAATCTCCCCCATTCCCTCAGGCGGGGGGAGCTTCCTTGAAGAAGTGTGAGCTATCCTGCGTCCATGCTAGTGGCGTATTAGTAGCTTGTAGCTTACTAGTCCCTTATATACTTAATTAAGTAGGCGACTATTTATATATTTAAGTAGGGAGGGGGGAGCGGGCTGAATAAAATACAAATAAAGAAAAATTGTTTTTTTGTCCTCTCGCCTATCTTCTTTCCTGCGCAATGCTTCTCAACCTCTTCGATCCGCTTCTTCGGATCCGCGGTTGATGCACCGCTCCCCATGGCTTCAACCCATGAGAGAAGCAAATTCAACGGCTTTCAACCCATGTTGTAATTACGTTGCAACTCAACGGTTTTGGTGTTCTGATCATCCAGGTTCTTTCGGGCTGATCAGGTCAAGGCCCAAGACTTCTATTGAGGCTGCGAAAACAGATCAAATGAACATCTTGGCTGCACTTGTACGAAGCCTCATAAATCATTACGTTCACAAATAGCCGTGGGTTTTGTCTAAATCTTGGAGTTTACGATTCACCAAGTGCTCAACTTGACACCGTCGGTTTTTGTTTGCGTAGGGAAATGTGTTTGATGCATTGTTCACGCCTCTGAGCAACGATAGTGCGATAAAACAGTCGGCACTCCACAAACCAGTCCGGTGTGCTCAACAGTGAGAACGCTGATTTCTATTGGTTGCGTAAGTGCCTTCTACGCTGCCCAGGCTGGGACAACATCAAACAGCAAGCAGTGCATGCAAGCTTCAAAATCAATACACTGCAGCCTGGTGGAGCTGCCCGGACATGTCGAGATTCTTGTCAATTTCTGCACCTGAGCAAGAAGGAACCACACGTTATATAAGTACTGTATCAAGAAACGAGAGCATGAAGAGAAGTCCTGGGAGAATCGAACACATGCAAGACAATTGGGTGTGCTCTCTTCAAGGGTGTTGCTGTACGGAGTCAACTTCTAAGAGGCCCGGCAAGCAGCAACGATGCTGGGCCACCAAAGCAAGGCACAAAAGCGGCCGTTGGTGCTCCAAACAGTCTGGGCAGTGTCAAACAGAGTCAGTCAAGCAGAAACCAGGCTCCATAAAAACGACCATTCCATTGAACATACCAACAAACATCAACAAACCTCCGGCATGTGAACTCATGATTCCGCAGATCTGGTCTTGAAGTCCTCAAAATGCCAGGGTTTGGAGTCTGGAGCCTCGATCTAGACTCTAGACCTGACGCAGAACCTACAGGCTACGTCCAACCCACCCAACGCAGTGGAAGAGATGCCTTGACATTTTCGGTTTTTCTGGCGGCTCGCTGAATGCCCAAAAGCTTGCAATTGAGATTGAAACACAGCAACTAAGGTAGAGGTTCTGGCTTCGGTGATGTAAAGCCCCCCCAAAGTGATGTCTTAAATTGGCTGCAAGCTCGCTAGCCGGGCCCTCTCGCACGCCGCTCGGAGTTTCTTCAAACACTTGGTACAAAGAATTGCAAACAAGCATGCAAACATATGCAAACCACACTCAAAGTGATCTCAACTCGCTTTGGACCCGTTTCAGTTTTCCATCGCATCCATCTCATGTTGAGCTTGTTGCTAAGGCGTCGGCCACCTTGAGGTCATCGACTGGAGGCATCTGGCCGACAATCAGACTCATTCCGCCAACCCGCTAAAGAGAGATTGTGAGTGCAGTGGAAAGAATTATTGTCAATATGAGCGAAGACTGCTGATGGGAAACTTGGCATCTGCAGTAAACACCCATATACCATCATATACCCCCTACAGCCACTCTCTTGCCTCAGTGTAAAGATCCGAAGGCTCCCATCAGTGAGTCACATATGTCTTTGATTGTCTTTGTCTCAGTGAGGTTAGCACCAGCCAAGATCATGCATGCATGGAAATAGAAGGAGCAATATGGAGCAATGCACCCATTTGCTTCCCCTTTCGCAGCACCAATTTCATCATGCCCTGCCCACACATGAATCAAACTTGGTGGTTTTATCATGTCCACATCCCCTGACAGATGTTTTGTCATGGCTTTGGCATCCAATACTCCAAAGCATGCCCGCCAGGCATAGAGTCGTAGCGGACGGGAAGGGCTTGATAGCAATTGCATGCCTTCCGGGCCGCCCTCACCTTGATGGGAACTGGACTCCCGCGCAGTAGCGCAGGTGTGTGCAAGCGATGAGTCCCGAAGGAGAAACAAAAAAGGTGTCGCCCTGAACTCTGGGGTGAACTCCGCGAGACTACTGGAGAAGTTCGCCCATTTGGATAATTTTGAAGACACACTAGACTGCTGTACTGGTTTTGACACCGCTGGAATGCCACTTCGTTCATCGGCTAAAGCCTCAGCTCCGAACGAACCACGCGCACTCGAGCAAAAAGTCCCAAGGCCTCGTCAACGAAAGCTGACCAAATCACAACAGGCCACAGCAACTGGGCTTTGGCCAAAGCAGGTGCCTTAAGATTGGCCCCAAGCTGTTTTAGATAAGATTCTGGTTAGGAAGCTCTTGAATTCTCGATGCTCGATATTTGATTCTTCGAGTCGCACTCCAATACTGGCATACCCTTGTCAAGCCAACCCTCAAGAACAGAGTCCCCCAGAAGCCCCATTTCGCTCCTTTTAAACGATGACAGATTTGAAGAGACAGCCGGCCGCATGGGGCCTACATTTTATTGCTTTTGGTACCTAAGATTTAGGGTCATGGGTTTCATTGCCTGATTGAGGGTTGGCACATGTTAGCACCATTTCTCATCTCGTTGTTACTGTTTTTGCTCGCATCTTTTTCCTTCTTCACAAGGCGTTCCCGTTTTTTTGCATTTTTGCCCAGATCTTTTTGGATATTGCACTCCTTGGAATGCAGGGAAACTGATGCTTTACTGAAGAATACGAGGACCTAGGCAGGATGGATTGATTGGCCTCTATCCTCGCAATAAAAAAAAGTGCCGTTTGACATCTAGAGCTCTTTGAACAGGTACTCCCCTACTTGAACACCGTTGAATTCTCCTTCTTGGCTCGATTTTTGTTCTTACTATTCTTAGCCTAACTTAGCCAGCTTCTCTCCTTCTTTATTTAGATTTTTCATGATTCTTCCTTGCTGAAATTACAACTGATTTAAGACACGATGTAATCTTGTCCTCGTCACTCGTCTTTCTTCAACTCTTCTTAGTCTCATAGGTGTTACACTTACTTCTACATTTACACAGTATAGATTTCTTAAACAAGAACGCTCCCACAGTTGCGATCTCCAGAAAGGAGGAGCCTTTCCTGCAGAATAGAGCGCTTCACAAGAAAACTCAATAAGGAGGAGAGCTGTGCACAAAAGGAGGGTACGATAGATAGAGAAGGATTCTGCAAAGATAATATGTGCAGGCATGGAGGCATCGATTCTATCAAACAATTGTTTGCAGCTAAGCATTTAGACAAAGAAGGCAGGCCTTTATAAAGACACACACACACATCTTTATGAAAGAGAATTCGGCTGAAGATTGACCGTTAAAAGCTTAGTCTCATACCAAAATGGGTTGGCTTTTGTCGACATGGGTTCAAGAAGAGTTCTTTTCACAAAGGAAAATTAATTTAAGCACAACGTTCAAGGAACTCTTCATAAAGGCGGAATCTTTTTTAAAGAGTGGTCTTGAGACAAATGTGACCTTTTTGAAGGAGAATACCTTTCATGAATGGAGGAGATTTGGATAGAGAAAAAACACATCTTAACCATGTGAAGCAAAAAGCTCTCATGAAGGAGAAGGCGCTCTTTGACTGAGACCGGAAGACACATGTAAGGGGGGGGGGGCTTCCGGATAAGATTGAATGTTTGTATGGGAACAGGTTGTGAACAGGTTGCAAACCAGCGAAGAACATCTGAAAGCAAACATCGAAACAAAGGCCATAGCAAAATGTGGACAACAAAAAGATGTTGAACAAAGTCAAGGAGTCAAGAATCAAAAGACACATCGATAACTACTGAAACACAACATGTCTCCTGGACTCTGGGGGACGGCTGACCTGAAGTGGAAGAACTTCTGAACATGGTTGGCTTTCTTCACATTTGTGTGTTTGTTTCAAGTTGCCTTGTTTTCTCAATGCCTTACAACGTTTTGATTTTTTGTGTCTTGATCAATGAAAAATACATTGGGAATTGCAATTGTTGATTCTTGTTTGGGATTTAGTGGTCGGGCCCAAATACAAGCCCCATGTTGGGTATCAACACAATGTAATTCAACCCACGTTGATGTGACCTGTCGGCTGTTCCCAACTCTAACTAAGGTTGGTTTGGGAACAGAAGTTGTCCAATTGCTCCCGTGTCCCATGCCAAAAGCGCCTTCATTTGGTCTCGATGCAGATCAAGTCGAGCCATTTCAGTCTCCCAAAGGCTCTCGTCGAAGCCTTTGGCCTGAGGCCCAAGCCACGGATCATTTCTGCTTCAAAAGGCTAGCCATAAACGATTCGCATGGAGGGGACACCCCGACACCACGAACAATTCGCAGCAGAAACGTCGCTGCAATAATGGACAGTCGATCTGCCCTAGTTATATATATATATAGGGATGATTATAGATGTATGGCATCATGGCATCATTGGCATAGCATTACCACAGGACCAGGCCCAAGCAACGGAACGATTCAAGCAATTCTCTTTGTAACCCATTGCAGCCCAGGTACCAGCACAAAGCAGCATTCTTCCGGGCCTGGCCCAAATGTCTTCCCCAGTTGCATCTTAAAGTCATCATTTCCAAACCTTCTTGGAAGAAGAGGTGTGGGCAAAGCGCTTCTTTTTACTGGAAGTACTCAAATACAGTACAAACCTTAGCATCTGCTTCATTTCTTTCTCAGAAAGGAGCACTCTCAGCGGTTTTAGAATATTTTTCAATCAGCAACTTTTTGCCATCCCTCACTTTCTTTACAACTCTTCGAGGTGCTTTGGAAGAACTCCAGCACGGCCTCTGGCCAAAGGTCGTTCACTCTGAGCCTCCCAAAGGTACCTCCCACAGTGGGACACAATGCGGAAGCCCGCACAGTGGGACCAATACTCTCAGTTGTCCAGGCGAATTCACGCATGCTCAGCTATGTCAGTCAATCAACTTATGTATCGGAGCACTCCACAGTGATGGGCAAATGCCAGTCAACTTTGTCCTTCACGCACACAACTCGACACTTGGGCTCTAAAGGTGGGGCTGCAATGAAGAATGTGGCACATCCCCTTTGCAGTTTACTCGTGTCATACCAATTTCTGATGTTTGACATATTTAACATTCTTATGACATTTTGATAACACAGTTGATGGCTCGTCACACAAGCCATCCTCGCTCATGTCACCGGGGATTGGCAAGCG